CAGAAGCCGCAGGAGCAGGAGCTCCAGGAGTCGCTCCAGATCCCACTCCAGGTGAGAATGGATCTGATGAGATTAAATCACAGATACGAGTTGTAGTTCTGACATAGATAAGTAAGGTATAGATGCGCTATATTGGGTCCCTGTAATTAACTTTTTTTAGATTGACGCAGTCGCACAAAACACGAAGTAACGCATGTTTCTTATTCCTTACAGGTCTCGTTCCCGTAGCAACAAGAGACGTCATCAGTCCCGCTCCAGATCTGGAAGGAAGTCTCGCTCTAAGTCAGGAGAAAGCAAATCCCGTTCTCGCAACCGCAGGTCCCGTTCTCGATCCCGCAAGTCCAAGTCGCGTTCACGCTCCCGCAAATCCGGCTCTCGTTCAGCCGACCGGAAATCTAAATCCAAGTCCCGTTCAAAGAGCCGCTCAAAGGTAAAGTCGGAGCGGGATTCTCGCAGTCGATCCAAGGAGATGTGTGTTGACAAGAAGTCTCGCAGTCGTTCAGCGACCCCAGTGGAGAACGGGAAGGAGGAGCGTGCCGTCAAATCAGCCTCCCGCTCCCCATCCCCACAGGAAGATGACCGCCGATCCAAGTCGAGGGAGAAACGTTCAGCCTCTCGCTCGAGGTCTCGCTCGCGGTCTAGATCAGCTTCTCAGGATTAGTGGAATCATAAACGAGGAGTGTTTCTCTCATTGTTGAGCTTGATCCCTATGCTGTACATATTGAGCAGTGTCGTCCTACTGGCTTATGCTTCCTGACTTGTCTACTTTTCTCCTTCGAGTGTGCACTTGTCTTAAACACGAGTAGACGCAGTTTTATTGAGAGGATGCACCACAGTGACGGAGATACTTTTTTAGGATCAGTTGTCAGCCTCTCAAACCACCAGTCGTCTCCCGAATTTTGAAAGTCTTTAGAGCTGCAACCTACGGTGGTTAGTCACTATCCCAAACATGTAGTCTTAATTGGTAAACTGTTTCTCACACCAGACTGTTAATTAAAAGCTGTGTGTAGCTTAGCGAAAATTAAGTTCTTTATTTTACTTGCAGCATCTGTTTGCAACAGATCTTGTCTGATTTGTTTCATACTCATCCAAACTGCATGGTTGCGGGAGAAAAGTAGGATTTGGTTACAGCATTGAAGCGGCTTCACTTTTTGAAGTCTCACTATTTGCTTTCTCAAGGAATCGAGTCAGTCTCTGTTGTCTTGCAGCACTCTGAAATGCACAATCGGGATGCAGAACTGCATATTTACAAGAACATGATATGGGTTTGTATTTCATGTCTGAACAACTTTCATTGTAGGTGGACGATTAATGATCCCTTTTTAACCTCTTGTACATAAACCATGTGATCAGCATCAGATGGATTTATACGTTTTTGTTGCCACCAGTGGGGTTTTTGTTGTCTTTTGTAACGTTGAGCAGGTGATCTGTGGAAGGCCCTTTTTGCTTTGTGGGTTTCAGTTTGACTAGAGTTTCAAGGCCTCAAATGCAGTGTCCCGTCTGTCTCGCTTTTCCTGCTTTTTCTAATAGTCATTTTCAGTTGTTTTTTTTTTTTTGTTTGTTTTTCTGAGTTTAATCCAGGGGTTAGGGGTTTCGTCAAGCCTCTGCTTATTTAAAGTGTGCAGCTAGTACTGGAGTTTTTGTACTCAACGGGTACATCCATTCAAATCTCTTGAGGTGTCGACTTGTGGGTTTATAAGACACGAACATCATCAGACTTGCTGAATGCACCCCCTCTCCATCTTTTGGAACAGATTCATATTTTTTCTCCATGCGAATGAGATCTAACAGAAAAATGTCCTTTTTTTATTGTATGTTCAATTAAAGATCTTAATTAAAAATCTCGCCGTGTAATGTTTCTTTGTGTCTGGATTACAAAAACCTTGACTGCAGTAACGACATGACCTATATCCTGCTAATTATACAATAAATGCTCTTTCATTAAGGGGGAAACATGGACGAGATCAATGTTTTGCAGAAGCGCTTTGTTTAAAATCTGAAGTAAAAGCGACCGAACAGCTGCTGTTGAACGCTCTCCAAACTAATCGATAGTCCACTACATTATTTTCACATATCGACCATCGCTTCAAGTCTTTTGGCGTTACATTATAACCGACGAGCGGTGACTGTACAGGGGACTCGCGCATGCGCAGTCGGAGTCCCGGAGCCGCAGGAGATAAGAGCTGGTAAGCCAAATTTCAGTTCCGAATTGATCTGCAAAAACGAATTAATTTGACATTTATAAGTTTGCTCTAATTGTAGCCGACACCAGCACCTTTTAACCACCTTCGTTGTTAAGTATTGTGTTTTATTTCTGAAGGAAACGCGCTTTGGCGTTATGGATAGTATCCACCACAAAGCTTTTCGTCTTAAATAATATATATATGTTCAATAATGGCACCCGTTTAATTCTATTAATCGGGTTGAATACTTTTAAATAGCAGAAGCAGTCGCGCCGAGGGGACTAAAATATCTGACATGCTTAACGTTGTTGTGAGGTGAAAATGTTCATTCATTTGAGGTGCTGCCGGAATGGGTGACAAGGTTCATTTTTCAGTAAATGGGATTTTCACAGGATTTGAGCTTTTACACATTTTTTTTATTTTTTTTGCCTCAAGGATTTCAGATCCTCCGCCATTTTAAGTGAAATGTATTTTTTGTGTGTGTATTTGGCGGCTTGTGTATATAGCCCTTTTTTATTGGAGGTAATGGATGGCTGTTAAAAAGTCACACAGGGTCATGGTTGTTGATGGAGGAGGACATCTATTATTCTGTAAAATGGCACTCTTAAAAAGTTATATTTGTTGGGGGAAATCTCCAATAAAAGTCTTTATCCTGTAGTTTTACATTTGTTCCGTCTTGATCAATGTGTCTCAGAGACATTTTAGGACAAAAATACAGACAGGAAATATAATCTGAGAGAAAAAAAGTGCCTGTTAGGTTCTATTGTCATATAATGTTATATCTTCATAAATGTTAAAGCAGTGTGGTCCAGCAACCTTTGAAGATCTTGTATTGTCTTTTGTTTTTCTCTTCTAATAGATGTTGTCCTCTGCATTAACATTAAAAAAACATTAGATACATTAAAAACATCCAGATAAAACTTTGTAAAAAAATGTTTGGCTGCAGGACAGAGGATCCATAATAACTGTTAGTTTTATTTATTTAGCCCAACATCACAAATTTGCCTCACAGATTTACAATCTGCCCAACAGACCTCTGTCCTTACACCCTTGAGTCGGATACTCCACCAAAAACATTTGGAGAAAACCTAAACTTCAGGGAGAGTAGCAGCAGAATCCCTCTTGCAGGATGGTTTTATACAGCACCTGGACCACAAAACTTCAAACCAAAAAACTGCACTAACACATACTGTTAGTGCAGAAGGAGTACCAATCCGTCCCTCCGAGCATACGGTTCCTATTTACTATTTCAATGTATTTCTGTTTGTTATGGAAAACATTGTGCGCAATGTTGGCAGCTTGGTCACTTTTCAGGCCACTGGAGACAATATCCTATTTTACCCATTTAAAGCTTAAATCTTATCCACCTGGATGGATGTGTTTAAAATCAGTAAACAACCAAAACAAAATGAAGTGGAGGGGGCATGACAGACTGTACCTTTAAATGTAACCTTTAAAAACTACTTTCTAAATGTGCAAATATTCACAA